ATAATAATAATAATAATAATAATAATAATAATAACAGCGTAATACGACGAAGGTGATTTTTCCTACGCCGTTACCCGACACTGAGAATGCCCATGTATGAGCGCTGACCTAACCCCTGAAAGTTCCATGAAGGCTAGTTCCAGAACTAAAAGATAATCGCTCAAAAATTGAAATTACAGGTCCAAACACAGATTGAAGTCGTAGGGTCGTGTATCAAGTTTCAAACGCTATTTTACCCGCTAAAAGGAACATATTCAAAGGAAACCATTGAAGATGTTGTAGCTGAACGATCTAGTTGAAACCCTTCTCGTGGAAACTTATCGTTACTTCGCGAACATTAAAAAAAACACGAGGGACGACGACACATTGATGAGGGAAAAGAGAATTGAGACGTAGGGCGAGAAGAGGGGATGATAAAAGAGACTGAAAATTACAAAACCTGAAAATGCTAACCAATGTGGGGCTTCTGTAAGTTTTGCGTGTGACACGACAATTGTAGCATACCGCGTGGGCGTGGCGAGCGATTACGCGCCCTACAGACGTGTATTCCTGCCTGGTAGATTGAATTTGAGTAGTACTGGAAGGGGTAAGCTTGATATAGCCCGCCATGAAATCATGCCTCCACTTAAACTATATAATGTTTATCTGTGCCAATCAACAATTGATAGACATCGAGGGGCTGTCATGCCCGCCACACGATAAGCCGCGCGCGACGACGAGAAAGATTACTACTGTCCAATCCGTCGCCCGATGTTGCTTGAGTCAAAGGCATGTATTGTGCTTGTACTACACTTTCAAGCCTCGTAAGAGATGCGCGCTGTGGGACTCGGAAACCTCTCATGTATATTAATACACCGGGTGGGCTAATCACGGCCCGTTCCCTTGAGGATGGCTAGGAAAATCCCAGCCTGGTTGGCGAGCGTAGAATTTGAGAAGAGAAAATGGAATGGGAAAGAACTCATTGACATTCTACGAGTATGTGAGATACCGCAGTGACGCTTGGAGGCAGTCGACACGGTAAATCCCTAAGACGAATAGGTTTAATACGCCTGGCAGGACGGAATTCCGTCAAGCAGGCGCTGCATAGCCCTTTTCCGAATGGGTTACCCTTATAAGGCCCTATCAAACTGCAACACACCGATCCGCCCGCCCGCCCACAAATGGACGACCGTACCTGATGCTCGTATTGCTTCATTTGCGAAGTAAAATATGAAGCGAAGGGATTGACATGAAGCGGCCGCGGTGCTGCATGGATATATGAGTACATACGTGCAGCCGTATCTACCGTGATGGTTATTAGCAAGATGCCTACGGAAAACTCGTCCGACGTTGTTTTTTGATTCAATAAGAAGGGCATTTCTTCGCAGGTTTTCGATCAGCACCAAATTAGAAAATTGAACGCCATATGTCCTTAAGCATCTGGTCGAAAGAAACAATGAAAAGGGACCGAAGGAAAGGAAAAAGGAAGGAGACGTTAATAACTCTCACTACGTTTTTTGAGTAGATGGAATCAAAAGTAATATTGTTGCCATGCAGCGAATTTCATTGCTGTCCGTTGATTCCCCCTGGTATCATTCACCACAGCCTTGCTGCATGAGATTTATTATAGTGAAGAGAATGTTGGGGCGGGAAAACAATAAAGGAATGGCTGACACTTGGATATATTCGAGTAGCGCTGGAAAACACGAAAAACCCTGCGTTCTGCAAAAATCACTCGAAGTTAGGAATACCAATAATCCCGCGAAGCTGGAAAACGAAACATTTCCTTTCTATAGAAAACGGTTACCTTTTGTGTCAACTATGGGCAGGAAGTGACGCTTTTTTCATTAGATTAGGGAAAGGAAGTAAGATAGGGAAAGAAGTTCCATTCTCAATGATACCAGAACTTGCGTCTATTCCTGCCGACTGCTGCAGTCATCCTTCACACTGCATACGAAGAAGCACAGCCCAACTTTATCGGTCAACTGATCCAAGTAAGTCAGCATTTGCGTCTTATCGGTTGTTAGACTATAGACTATGAATCGTTGAGACTGGTCATTCATTACGCCCCACCATCCCTCTCCCTCCCTGATAGGGGTTTCGTTTTGTAAGACCTCATCTGTTGAGATAAGAAGTTGAAGTTTGAAAAGCATGGTGCAGTTGGCTGCGATAGCTGCGACGCGTGTAGTAATGTATTAGGGGATCCATTCAAACTGGCCGCTGGTTTTTTTTGAATAAAGCAAAGAGGAGAATAGATAGAAAAGTGATATTTTAGCTTTAGGATGAGTAAATCCCTCCTTCACCAATGACCCGCTCCCAGTGCCCCGAGGGCCTTTGGACCTCTGGTACCTTCGATTTTTCAACAAGTGTGGGTAAATTGCTGTTGTTGCCAATTTCGGCAAATGACAAAACATTGTAGCGTCTGCCGTCGGAGAGTACTCTCAACTGAATAGAACAGTTGTAATCGCATGGCTTTATGACGGGCGAATGGGCGATTGAAGGTCTCAGTATTGTTTGTGTCCCAGCACTGATCTACAATACAGTTACTCGGGGTCTGGCACTATGACGAGCAACGGTGGCCTTCTTGTAGTTGTGTGGTAGCATCCATTTGTCGATGCCGAGGAACAGGCAATATGCACCGACAGTGACGGATTTGTTCTCTGTATAGAGCCGCTTGAAAGCCACAGTGTGGGAATCCTTTGCTATGATCATCCACTTGCGCCCACGTAACTCTTCATGGTAGAACTCGGGCGGCTTCTCATCTGCATTCATACAAAATTGACGATTGTGAGTTTCGGCTCGAGGTCCGAGACCACCCATATTTCATCTAAGGCCCGGGTGCGTTTTCACAGTTGTGAGTGACCCTCTTGACCATCCTCCGTTTATCGGACATAACTCGGGCAGCAGTTGCAGCTGGGATGTCAGACTCGCGGGGAAGCTCGACAAGGGTCCAGGCTCTGTGATCAGATATTCAGTGCCTGACTTCATCCACCCTTTTTTCTTGTGCAGGATGAATATTATGGGACCATCCACGACAACAAATTTTTTCCTTTCTTCCTTGTACGGGCTCCTGAACCAAATCTTCCACCGTGTATTTCGAGAACACCCTTACACACAACTATGGTCCGGCGCAGGTCAAATTTGAGCAGCGCACTTTCCTCTTATGACGTCTGATTTGAAAAACCGGCGCCGATTTTCACCACTCGGGCTTCTTTTCAATTTCTCGAGAACTTCTTCTGGGGCTAGGTTCGCCAAATTTCACAGATACACAGCTTAAGGTACTAGCTTCCAAATGGTATAGTAGCCCGCTGCTCTATCCCCTTTGCTTTTCTGCCATTCCTCTATATGTAGCGGCCAGTTTGAATGGGATGACCTAATATTATGTCGACCTCCGTAGTGGGAGATCTTCTATTCCTTGTACAGGTACAACTTCACCCAAAAAATGCAGTTGGCAAAAGGAGTGAGCGGAAATCGTTATTGCCAGGGGGTTCATCTTCAGGGCATTGATGCATTCAAGTGCACACTTAATCCTGGAAGACAACTAAGTCGTAACTGTGTGCCTAGTCTCGCGCGCAGTTGCCTTGAAATCGGTAGCTTCTGCCGATGCTTTTTGCATTTGAAACCTCATGACACTCAACTGATGAAAGTAAAGCCTGCCGAAGTCGCGTAATGCTAGAAAGGAGCAAGGATTCTGAAGACTTCAGTCATGATCGATACGGATAACGCGATCCCTCTTACCGAGGGACACTTGTGTAGTAAAACAAGCTAGAAGCTAACGGGAGGACAAAGAAGGAAAAAGTAAGTGAATACGGCTGTGAATTAGCATCCGTCCAGTCGATTTTTGCATTGGAGCGCGATCTAATCAGTCGCGCTACACAATCGTACGCTAGCACTAGCGACGCGATCGTACAGTCACGCGATCGACGCAGTCGTACACGAGCGCGATCGATCGCTTGTACGCGCGTCCCGTCGCGAAGTCTGAACGCTGCCTAAGGTGACCTGTCCCTGTGTATCTGAAGGCATCAGCGAACTGATAACTGGTAAAAGAATTCTCCATTCCTAAGGCCAACAAGGCCTCATGTTCCAGAACCACAGCCTGACTGTAAAAAGCGTCAGAAATCGAAAGATTTGAATTTTAAAAAGGAATGGACAGGACCGCGTAATATGTTCAAAACAGACAGATATATTTCGTGATGTATGTGTGCAATGACAGTGTCAGTACAATGACCTCTCCCGGAACTTCCTCATTTGGTACTTCCTGGATTTCGTCAACTTTCCACCACTTTTCCCAGTTTCTCAGGTGCTGTTGGAGTTTCTCTCCACAAAACTGCTGGCGAGCGAAGCAGAGAGGGGGGGGGGAAGGCTGGAGGTCGTCACCATCATCTCCAATAACTACAACAACACCACCCCATTTAATTTCAACTATCCAGAACCAGTTGTTGTATGGTAGCTGCTGTGCCGCCAACGATGGGCTTTATAGCGTAGAACCAAGACAAGTCAAAAACTCAAGACAATTTCCTCGAAGCTCGGAGAATTTGTCATTGCAGAGAAGAATAAGACTTCCTCCCTTGCGTAAAAGTACCATCCCCTGAAGCTAGCGTTCAGATTTCGCGACGTCGCGTGTTGCAGCGCGTCGACGCGCTGCACTGCGCTACAATTACAAGCGCGCGCCAATTGACGCCACTTGCTTTCTAATATTTTACGTTTTTTTTCATCGATTCCATTGCTAATTCATCTTCAGCTTCCCCCTTTGAGTTTGACATTCACTCTCGAAGTAGTTATCGCAACTGATGTGCCGTCATGCATATTACACCCTACACTGCTCTCATTTACTGACCTGCTGCTGGGACTCCTTACACCCTTGCAACGAATCCTTTACAAAGCTAAGGTCATGCTCTACATTCCATTGTCATAATCAAAAACATTTATTTACATAAACGCTTTAGAGAAAAGGCAAAACGAAATGCAAAAAAAAACTCTGAGTAATGACTCGTTGTCGATCAACCCATACGTTTCCCCCATTACTGTCGACTCTTGACGTAATCGACGATATCGCGTAATGTTGAGAATGTCTCCACTGTTTCGGGGTCAGTCTCTACCTGGAAAAAACTGCTTTGTTTTTCTGTCAGTGCAAATTGATTGCATCCTACACTAACTTTGAAATGGTAACTAATTGCACTGGCCATCATCTCGTAGAAATAGTTATGTTCAACATTCACATCTTTCCGGATATCGAATGACATATCGATTTCATCGAGGCTTTTGTTGGAAAACAACGACACCAAACGACGCATTTTATCCTCGGTCTGAAATACAGAGATGACTTTTTGAAGTACTTCATTTTGGGCGGAGTCGTCTGTTGACAAGATGAGCTCTCTCTCTACGCTCTTGGTACAAGGGTCAAAATTCTGATGGAATCTCGTCCAGGATATTCCATCACCTTGCGGTGTAATCGCTAGCAGAGTCGTTGAATGTTAACAAGGTAGTAATATAAAAGTGCACATTGGCTTGACGACATAAATATCCTTCTAGGCCAGAATGGTGATGCTGTTTGCTGGGAGAGGGGGGGGGGTGTATTTTGCACTTTCCGTCGACGTGTCGACCCATCTAGACAGCCTCTTCTCGAGTTGACAGGTTTTACCATGATGGCTTGACGAGCTTGCTCCAGCTTCACAAGAGTTCACAGGTTTCACCAGAGTGAGACTTGTAAACCAGAACTAGTGAAGCAACGAAAGTGCAAAATGCCCCCCCACACGTCGGCAAATTACGCCCAGAATGGTTTCAGCCTTGGACTTTAAATAATTGCCTTGAGTAACATTGCAAAGAAATTAACAACGTTGACAGTTACGAACAAAAATTCTTTTTTTTGTCTCTCGATTGAAGACATGATCCGAATTTCAAATTCACACTATTTGAAAAAGGTTCAATGCGGCTTGGTGGAGGCATCCACAGATAGAGACCACCACATTATGAAGACCTGTGGACTCTCCAACCCACATCGAATGACCTGCCTCGCTTGGCATCTTTACAATGTTTACCAAATCACCCCTCCGAAGCCGAAGTGCATCGGAGAAGTAGATGAGGAATGTGTTTTTTTGTGGAATGCGAGGTTCTACAAACATTAAAAAATCAGAACTATCCCACCTTGGATGAGTATACTACGTGAATTGTCTTCGAAATGGCTTATTTGTTTCAATTTCAATACTAAAAGTGCTTCGGGCAGAATGGGGAGGCTACCCCTTCAACTGAAGGGAATATTATTGCATTTTATTGCAAATTTTGGTTACACGAGGATAAGTACCTTACCACCTTCACTGTCACTCGAGCATACACTCTTTCCGTGCCGCTAGGCGGCACACTCAGATTGTTCACTTTCTTGCCAACAACATTCCCATTACTCTCGTCGTTTACTCCCTTTCTTTCTAGCTCTCCTGACCGTAAAGACCCTCTCTTTTCACTGCTGAGTTGTATCAGTTCCTGCTATTTCTCACAGCTGAAAGCATTTTGTACAATCACCTGCGGAGTAAAAGTTTCTCCACGCACATATGAGGTGTTCATCTTCACAACCAGATAACACTTTTGCAGTTCCAGGATGCAACGCATGAGAAGGGCGGTAAGCTGCTGAGCAGAAGTAGCTCATGGTGTTGTTAATGGTTTTCGTGCCACTGTGATGTGTGCAATTGTGAGATCGCTCATCCATCTCTGATCCCTCTTCCGCGCGCTCACTCTTCCGTAGCCTCTCACTCCCTCAAATAGGCGTCCAATTTCGAAGTCTCGTTCGAGGGAAGGAGAGCCTTATTCAAGACGTCCCCTACGACTCTTCTGCTTCTTCTTTAGTGGTCAGCTAGTATCCCTGTTTCAAAACCGCACTACCTACGGCTGCAATCTACATTGGTCTTTTAATTCTAGCAGTTCGCTTTCATCTTATTTCGATAATCTGCAGAGTTCATTTCAGCAGCATGTCATATTTTGGTGGTATGAAATGAAATAAAATTACCGTCTTCTCTGTGAGTTCTTCTTCTAGCACGCTCAATCCGCTCATTCCATTTTCATCCCATTCTCTTTCATCGGAGGCGTATACTTGTTTCTGAAACACAGAATTTCCATGAGAATCCGATGAGGTAAAATCGGACTTTAAAGTGGTATTTATAGAGATGATTGGAACCTCCTCTCGTACGAGAGAAGGGTTAGAACTCAGAGTCAATTTTCTAAGATTATTTTTGTGTCGATATGTGTCTGTGTTGATTCTGCTCTTGAATGACCCCTACTCCACCATTGGTAAAGTAGAGAAATAGCTGAAGAAGTTGAAGTGAAGAAAAAAGCAGAAAAAACATGCCAGCTGCTCCTAGATAGAAGCCCATTTCGATCCCAGTTTGTACGTGCCCAGTTGACTCCATCACCAATACTATGCCACCATTCACACAGCTAACTCCCCTATAAGAACTCTATGACCGTACAAGTGACGATTTTCATCTTTTTTCGTCGTGCAACATCGAGAGGCGGACCGTGAAGGCCGAGTGTGGAGGGCTGGCCATTGGAAAAAAGGTTACTGAGCCTATATTGCGCTTTGTCCCTCCCTACAATTTTTTGCGAAACAAGATTTTTGGAAAACAAGATTCGGATAAATGTATTCATACACGGTTCCATAAAGAGAAATCCTCAGTAGTTGTCAGGTCACAGCTGGTGACCTGTCAAAATCCAGCAAGTAAAAAGGAGCCCTCTGTCAGAAATTAACTTTTCCACGCTGCGGAGGCAGAACGTGCATTTGCAAGGGATCTGCTTTGTGGAACCGCAGGGAAGTTCTTGCGAACTCCCGATTCTTGGGTATATTTTGCGACACTCTGAGCAACCAACACTTTGACAGGGCACATCGTTGTTGGGGAATCTCCCAACGGGGGGGGTCGTATTTGGTCGCCAGGAGGGGGTCGCTTATTTGGGCTGGGAAAAATTTATTTTGATAGTTGATTTTTCTCGCTTCACGGACGTTGTAAAAGGGATGGATTCGTACTTGCTCGTTGTTGTGAGGGGGGGATCGTACCTACCCTCCCCGCCCCCAAAAAAATAGGGGGTTATAGACTGGACCAAAATCCCCAACCAATGATGTGCCCCGCACTCTGAGCAAGGTGATTACTTTCGCAAACAACAGGCGTTACATCATTCGCTCCATCATCAAACTGATAAGGGCGCAAGTAGTTTTTTTTCTCGATGCATATGAAGCGCTCATCGCCCAAATGGACTGTCTTGGCACTACACTGATAGGGGGGGGGCGTGTGATAAAACTAAAAACGGGCACTTTCAACAATAAAATGTATTAATAGGTTTAATAGTTTAAAGTGCCGCTAACAGAGTCGAATAGGCTATAACAACAATTGCATTATGGGAATAGGTCTGAACATTAAAGCCATCGCTTTGTTGTAGTACATCCCCTGAAACCAGTCCCCGAAGTACGGTCCT